TGCTATTGCTATTGCTATATTTTCAGGTGGTCACATTTGCAACCTCCTACCAGCTTTCCCATTAATGTATAGGAAGCCAGGAAAGGTCACAAATGACAATCATATGACTGCAGGATGCTGGAACTGACATAACTATGGGGATGGGTAAATATCACTTGTTCAAGGTTGCAAGTTTGAATGGTCCCTGAACAAATATTTAAGTGATCTCTCTCTCCCTCCCTCCCTCTCTCTCTCTCTCTCTCTCTCTCTCTCTCTCACTCTCACTCTCACTCTCACTCTCACTCTCACTCTCACTCTCACTCTCACACACACACAATTTGCTGCCAAGTACATGCAGGATTATCTGCTTGAAACAGAACTGAGAATTTCCCCTGTAAGAGATTTGGAAGGGACAGAAATCAGTACTTTTTTGTGGTAGCCCCTAGCTTCTAAAACACTTTCTCCAGCAGATAACTCTATGCTGCCTTCCCTCCCAATAATTAGGAAAATAGTGAAATGCAAATTGTCCAAGAAAGCTTATAATAATTAGATATCCTATATTTTATAATATATGTCATATTGTATGCTTGAGGGATTTGTTGGGAATATGGCAACGCATAAATTAGAGCATGTCCATATGGATATACATGATGAGTAAATAGATATTAGAAAAAAAATTATCACCTGTAAGAGTCATTCAGCAATAGAACAGTCAGCTTCTAAAGGTTTATCTTGCAAAGATGTTCTGGGATTCTTATTTTCCAAGATATTCCACAGATTGACATGGTTGACACTATCAAAGACTTTTCTAGATTCAATAAAGCTCATATTGACCTCCTTTTGGTATTCTTTATTCAATTATCCAGCACACACCAGCAATAATGTTTCTTTTTTTTTTTACTTTTGCTAAAGCCAGCTTGAACATCTGGCACCTTTTTTCATGTAGGGCTCTAATCTGCAATGGATGATCCACAGCCTTATTTTACTAGCATGTAAAATGATGGATTTCCTATAACCTTCTAGCTTGGTAATTATCAAAGTGTTGCTCTAACTTCGTTTTATCTTCATGTAGTGCAAGTTCTTATAAACAAAATATCTTGGATGTTGTCATTTTTACTACAGGGAATTTCAGTATATTGCATATTTGTTTAATATTTGAATCAATTATCTGTCCTTTGACTTCTCTTATATTTTTGGCAATTTCCACCATCTGTTCTGACATCCAGT